TAAGGGAGGAACACAGACTGAGGGTGTCTGAGAACAGGGTGTTGAGGAGAATATTTGGACCGAAGAGAGATGAAGTGACAGGAGGTTGGAGAAAAGTGCATAATGAGGAGCTTCATAACTTGTACTCTTCTTCAAATATAATTAGAATAATCAAGTCAAGGAGGATAAGGTGGGCGGGGCATGTTGCATGAATGGTCGAGACAAATGGGTATGGGATATAGGTGGGAAAGAGATATGGAAAAAGACCACTGGGAAGACCAAGGCGTAGGTGGGTGGACAATATTAAAATGGATCTTAGGATGGGATGGTATCGATTGGATAGATGTGGCTCAGGACAGGGACAAGTGGAGGGCTATTGTGAACACGGTAATGAACCTTCGGGTTCCATAAAATGTTGGGAAATTCTTGAGTAGCTGCAGAATTGGCGGCTCCCCCAGAATGATTACAATGGCCTTCAGAATGCTTCTTTTCAGTCTCCAGTCTTGCTCCAGCCCCTCACACTAAGTGAATTCACAACATGAAAGAATAACCTTGTCACTTTACTCTGGGGGTAAATGTCCCTGGTACCCACTGGAGATGGGCTGGGTGGGCCCCAGGGCCAGTCTAGACACTATGGAGAAGAGGAAAATCTCTTGACCCTTCCAGGCATCAAATCCATCAAGTGTGCAGCCCACCACTATATCAAATAAGCTCCCCTGATTAACCCAATTATTCTTCTGTAAATTCCAAAATCAGCATTAATAATACTGTCACATGCATGTGACTATATATGGGGTTTCGAGTGGTGACTGAATTTACTGACCACTTACACATGACTCGGAACTACAAGCAATTACAACACCATCACTGATCTACATACTTTACACATCACTAGAGCACATGCAAAGCCTCTTTTTTATAGTCTTCCTTAGTGATCACCTGGTAACAGCACTCACGGCCATAAGATAACTTGCTTTTACTATGTTTCAATTATGCCTGACTGGAATGTATATCCTTCCTAATGAGGGCTTCCACATTGGCTTCTGTCCTGATGCTGTTGCTCACTGGCTAATACTACTCACAGCTGAGCTCATTACCCCAATTGTGCTGGTTATAACATCTATGCATGGACCAAACAGAAAACACAGTTTCCAACAGTAACCCTACTGTTGTGTGCTCAGCCATTACCCAGAAACGGTCACTGTTTAGAGAATCACCACTTAGCAGCAGTCTAAATGCCACAATAGTCATACAAAATAAAAAAAATATTCTGCAATTACAATTTTCAAATATATGCCCTATTACAGAGCATTAAAGTGGACTCATTTCATGTGATTTTAGGTGATTTTTAAGAATGATAATGAGGGATGCCTCTACAGTCCTGCTGTTTACATTTCTTATAATCACTTCTTTCACTTTAAATGCCCATATCATACAAACCAAAATCTGCCATGCTTTGCTGCATGACAATGTTCACTGGAAGCCCAATTCACAACACACCAACACATATGCACTGGTCAATTACTGTATTCTGTTGGCAATGAGGAGGACTGTTTTTAAAACCAACACATCACTAATTTGAATCAGGTAAGAACAGAATCGGGCAGCTTTACCTTGTGAACCTGGGTGTCAACCCTTAACCCTACAAGGTTAAGTCACTGTATCATCTCATTATGGCATGTGTGATAATGAAGAAATTCATCAAACTTGCAGAGTTTAAATCATAAATAGGATGATCCAGAACTAATTATAAAAAATTGGAGGGTGAGTACTATGGCCCAAAATGACAACAGTTTACATGATATGGGTCGATAAATACTTCTGCAATGAAACAGAGCCAATCAAAGGCAATCAGGCAACAGCAGGCTCAAAACTATGGTTACAAAAATAATGTACACTAGGGGCTTTTATCAGGGAAACTGAAGCTAACAGATAATCATATTCCTTGTTCAGCAATGAAACACAATTCTCATGGACTTCACATGCAGCAGTAGGAGAGCAGAACTTCAGCTGTAAAAGTAGCTTTAATGCCACAAGACAGTACACACCAAGTTAAACACTTGTCAGATGATGTTATCAGTAAAGAAAGACTTCTGCTCAAGAAATAATACAAGAACTAACTAGGGATATAAACTAGAGTAACAAATTGTTATTAGGGTTACAGTAGGTTCGTATACTGCTGCTGGCCTTGCACTGCCACACAAGCTTTGGCCTGATAATCCATGGATTGACAGATGCATTGAAAAATGTTGAGTGTTGCAGACCTTGATACAGCCATTTTGAAGGTGCTTCAATAGCTCTTCTACAGTATCCACTGCTGAAGCATACACTTAATTCTTTGATGTCCACAATGGGAAAAATTAAGGGGACTGAGCTACGATGAATGGCTTAGACAGTATACTAGACCCTGCCTTTCTACCCACTGCCCAGTGTAGGCAGTCTCAAGGTAATTTCTGGTGGCATAAATGAAAGGGTTGAGGCACCATCATGCATGAACCAAGCTGCCAAATATCCAGCAGGGCAGTATCCAATAAATCTGACAAAATGTGGCCTCCAAAATATCGGTAAGCCATGTCATTGCATCTATGAGAAAATATATGGGCAACAAAACAGTCCCCAATAATACCAGCTCAAACATTAACTCAGAATTGCTACTGAAGTATGCAAAGAATTCCAAAAGGTGGTTTAGCTTCACTTTGAACGTGCCTGTGATGCAAGGTTAACACATTGTTCCTTTGCCAGTACAAAGCTGCTAAAGAAGGTGCAGAATATCAATACTTGAAGAGATAACCACATATAACAACAACAAACGTTTATTCCTGATAGAATAAATATTACTGATGATCAGGGAAGCAGTGTGTGCCTGATGCATACAGGCAAAAACTCCCTTTGTAGCGGACTAGCCCGTGTTAGTGACAGCGGTGATATTGTTGTCCCTGAAAAGGGCTGTTGGTCTGAAGCTGGGTGCACCTGCTGGATTCTGGGCAATGCTCTTGTCGCAGCAGGGTAGCTAGCAGAGGCAGAGGCCCAGTGACTGTGAGTCAGAGCACCTGGGGAATGCCAGGTGAAGATCTTGAAGCAGCAGGCCAACCCAGTGCTAGTGGTGGTGAGGTCAGCTGGTGGTCTTCCTTGCATGGCAGCTCAGCGCTGGCTAGCCTGCGGGATGCCAAGCAAAGCTCTTGCAGTGGCAGGATGGCCTTATGAGAGCTGGCGATTGATGGCAGAGTCGACTGCAGTGCTATTATTACTCACTGTTGCACTGTTCTCTTGATGCAAGCATACTTGTGACCGATGCTAGTGTGCCAGAGGTCCACATTCTTATGCTCTTGTTGCTAGGCATTGCAATGACCAATGGGTGTAGGAGCTGCCATTGTGAGTGGTGATTGGGCATCCCTTGCATCACAGTGAGAGGCTCCCACAAAGGTATCTTCACCCACTACTTACAGAACCACTGGCAAAATTCTTGGCATGGATAAAAATCAAGCAGACTTCAAGCCTGTACCCGCTGCAAATGACACAGGTACAGGAACTGCACAGGGAGAATCCTCCACACTGTTGTGCATGCCATACATATGGCAACTTATATAAAACAAATGCCAACATCGGGTTATCCTCTATACAATTCAGCATGCACTCATTCCCACCAATTTTTTGTGCACTTCTCAGTCTTCTGTGGTCTACTGCAGATGGGCAAACAGTACCAGTCTCCCTGATGATGATCAATGGTGTAAAATACGTCGGTTTGGAAGACTACATTAAAGATACTTAGCCATATACAACCATACAGCTGCTGCACTATTACCACAACCTTCGTGAAGACTGAAGTCTATAACATATTCTTCGAATGTACAGTTGTTCATATTAAACGCTAACTTATAAAGCAGCTACAACACTGGAAGAAAAGCATCTGACTGCACATAGAGCTCACTGAATGCCACATGCTAAATAATATACATGGTCAACCCACCAGCATGATAAACATGTCAACTGCATGTTTTCTGTTGCATGGGGAGAGCAGCCATTCAAATCACTCACTCTAAACTGCAATTTCCTTCAAAAGTGTTCCTCGCATACATTGCTTTTGTAACCACAGCTGTAATCCTACTGTCACTGGAACACCTCTGAGTGGCTTTAGTTCTTTACTGAAGTATTTCCTAGCCCATATTTATATAAACTATTTTCAATGTTTTGGGCCACAGGACTCACTCTTCAATGTTCTGTACTTGTTTCTGGGACACCCTGTATTCTGATAAAACTGTATTAATAAATAAAATATTAGTTCCTTGGTTTCTGTAACATGCTGTTTAAATGGGAAGTCTGTCAGAAAGGGCAAAATCCATGTAAATGATTTGTGAAAAATTTTGGGACCAATACAGTTGAACATTCAAGATGGGAAAATATTTAAGTGGTGTCATCTTAATCAAATAAACTGTATGTTACTCATACCTTCTAGAAACATCCAAGCAAATGCACAGAGGAAAAAGAAATGGAGCAGGCCTGCAACTATGCCACACACGATGGGCTTGTCTGTCTGGCTGATGCCTGCAAGGAACAATACTTCCGCAACCAACAGACATACACAAAGGTTTTTGTGGATTGTCGTGCGGTCCGACTGGAAAAAAGATAGTAACCTAAATTAATTCAAGGTACACTTCACATTAACTTAAAGAGTTTGCACACTAAGTCATTCACTTCTAATGGGTAGCTGTGCAACCCACAACATAGGTCACTTTCCTAGTGTATTTAAAAATTATCATCATAAGTTACTTTATTGTCCCCACTATTCCATAACAATACCCACATTTAATAATTACCTGCCATCTTGAGTCTGTTGTTACATGCCTGCAGTATACTAAATGCTTTTATTCTGATACAGTTATGGACTTCTACTGTGCATCTACCTTGCATCTTCACACAGTTAATAACTTCATGAAGCTAAGCCCTTCTTGAGAAGCCACTAAAACTGTTAATACATCTGCATCAATAAATACACATTTTGTTCTTTGTTTATTGTTTCTCTTTCTCATGTCATTTCAAATAGTAGTATCCTTATGCCTCCCACTCAATTCTGTGCAGGGCTTTGGATCTAGTGCACATCCTTATGCCTCCCACTCAATTCTGTGCAGGGCTTTGGATCTAGTGCACTGACAGGTGATAATACATTACCTACCTTCCCTAGCTTGTTATTTAGCTATCCCCAGCCACTTTTGCTGCAGCTGATGTGCCTCTCTGTCCTTGTGAATAAATGCAAGCTTGAGTACAAGACAGACAGTGGGGTACACATAAACGTAATCATTATGGAGCTTATTTCTGACTAAGTTTAGAGTTCCACAACTGGTACACCAGTGAAAAGGCAGATATCAAAGCTGGTGTGGGTATCTGTACTTCAAATGTTTACAGATTTCAACAGCTGCATGAAGTAAAGGTAAAAGTTGTCCCTGTGCTTAATTAAACACCATGTCATGATGACATATGGGGACTGGAGGTACAGCTCCACCATTCTGGATAGAGTTGAGTGGTCAGCTTCACAATCTGGCCACTTTACACCTAGAGAAAGCGTCTCCAGTACTCACCAGAGAGGAGGCTGGGTTAGCCCAAGAGTTGGTCTGCACACTGTGGAGTATAGGAAAATCTCGTCCCTTCCTGGAACTGAACTCCAGCAATCCAGCTCATGGCTATACTGGCTAAGCTACCCTGGCTCCCATTACTTATGAACAGCCTTGTTTAAGTGACCAATGGTATGAAGATGCCCAAATTCTTCAGAAGGATTCTGATTTACTCACAAGAGGACTCTTATAAACAAAACCTGCTAGGGTAAAACAAAGTGAACCAATGGAACTCACTGTAGGTTTCAAAGGAATGACTGGTTCATGAATCTTACAAAGACCATATAAATGCAGAGGTTTGCTATGACATAGCAAACTTACATTTCAAACCAGTATATATGCATCTGATGTCAGGTGATTATAGTTGCAGTTACACTGATACCAGTTGCTCATGAGTCGTACAGGATCCCCAGCCAAGATTGACGGTGCTGTTGAGAGCCAACAGCAATTTATATGACAAATGACATGGGCTGTCCAGCAACTGAGGTTAGCTCTTCCTAAGAGACCAAACACAGCAGGTGCCAGAAAGAGATCTAGTTTCTGAAACACCGTGTTCTTTAGATTATCAGACAACCGGTGCAGTCCAAATTTCAGTAATCCTTAAGTGTTTATCTGTTATTTCTGCTGACAACTCTAAATGCATCCTTGGATCGAGGAAGTAATTTTTATGTTAGATTTGAGGCTTTCACGGCGGTGACTATGAAGAAAGCAGTCTTCTGGGATTTGGCACTGTGTATATGTGGTGTTAACCGACGTTTCGGAGGAACGTATCGCCTCCATCTTCAGGGTAGAAGAAAAAACAGTGGAACTTGGTTATAACGTCATCAAAGGGACCTAAAAATAGTGTCATTATAAACGAATGTCGTTGTAACCGAAATGGGCACTTCCACAGTATCCTTATGTTAGTCACGTAAAAATCTACCAAAAACCGAGTTAAAATGTTGCATTTTTTAGTGAAATACGTAGTTAAGTACAGACTAACGTAATATTAATGTGGAATTGCCCAAATGTGTAATATCAAAGACATATTACAGCGATTCTCACTGACAATACACACAATATTTCACGAATCACTTTAACTTTCTCCTCAATGCTTAAAACTTTCCTTTTCATTGCCATGCTTTCGCTACTGCACTTCTCTGGGTTTAGGCAGGAACACTATAGGGTAAGTAGACAATGTGAGGTCCTGTTAGANTACTAAGCAAGGTATAAAAACAGTTGCTTTATGAGGAATTAGTTCGTACCATTGAATATTTGACGCAATAGACAAGGTGTCGCAGAAACCGATGTTGCTATAACCAAGTTTTACTGTATAAGAAATCTGTAAGCGAAGAGACTGTGAGAACCGGTAAAAGCTGACCAGTCTGCTTTTACCGGTTCTCACGGCCTCTTCACTTGCAGATTTCTTATATTTTTTCTTCTACCCTGAAGATGGAGGCGATACGTTCCTCCGAAACGTCGGTTAACACCACATATACACAGTGCCAAATCCCAGAAGACCGCTTTCTTCAATTTTTAGGTTGTTTTCATGTTAAGCTCCAGTGTTCTCTTCTTGAGAAATTATTAAATTATATACTTATTGCTAATTAAATAAAGTATTCCCCATTATTAAGGGCCTACAGTTGTGCCAATGACAGGAAGATATATTCTGCAATGTTCCCAGATCACTTCTCACTTCCAGTCAGCTGTGCATCTGTACATTATTGTGATGGGACCAACAAATTATAGCTGAATATATGCAACGTGTTAATCATTAGTTTATTTAAGTTTATTTTCTTCAGTGATACAAAAATAAAATGCTGTAACATTGTCCCCCTCCCCCCCAATTCAAAGCCTCATCATCACTGTATTCAGATCTGGAGCTGCTGCACGAGGATTACACTCTACTGAGTAGGAGGAGGAGAACAGGTTCCTGACTTCATCCCATGTGAACCCTCTTACATTTTCTGCATGCATCACACAATCATTCCATGCCAAAATGGTCATGTAGTCTACTGTCTCTCACATCACATTCCTGATATCAACAGTTTTAAATGTTGTGCCCATCTCTTGCACATAATCAGTTCTGCTAGGCTGTAATGGCAGTAACAGGGCAGTAAATGTACCATTTCATGACAGTTCCTGACCTACAATGATGAGTTTATAATTTCTGTACCTTGACTTGTTTCCTTTCACCAATTCCAATAACTCTTGCCTGTGTGGCAGAATGAGGCATATTCCTGCTGCAAAGCCCTCCTACAATTTTACTCTTCCATATCTGGCCAGTTGGGAATAGTAACTTAACAGAATAGCAAGAAATTGGTAAATAAGCCATTCTCTGAATGTTTTCAACTTAAATTTCAGCTGATAATTAGTTCTGCTATTAAACTTTGGATAGCATAACAATCTACTATTTTGTATGAACCCAGTACCAATATATTAAAGGCAAAAAGGGTAAAGCTATCCCTGTAACGGGCCATGGAGGCCCATAGGGTTGAGACATTGAGGGTCCCACATTATCTACACAATCAGCTCACAGATGGTGGTAATGTTGTCAGCCTTACACACTGGCCACCCTTTAAACCCCAGAAAAATTCCTGATACTCATTTCTGTTACAGGCTGAGTCAATCCCAGAGCCACAGTGTGCCTGGAAGTATCAGGTCAACTGAAAAATTCCACCTCATCAGGACTCAAAACTGCGACCTTCCAGCTTGCAGCATAGTGCCTCAACCAACTATGCTACTGCATGCCCCACCAACAGATTCAAACGTATTATAAATATGCTAGAAGCTAGCATTACACAATTGAAACATTTCAGAATATCCCACAAATGCCAACATGATTTCTTTGGGTGGTTCTAAGTATGACCAGTAGTACAAAATTCAAGCAATATTTCCATGTGCTTAAAATATTCTGTAAGTGCTTAATATTCCTACTCTCATGCACTGTGTGTGTATAGGGTGAACTTAGCCACTTCCTGAAATTACACTGTTCTGTCACACTTAATATTTTTACACATAAATCTTTAGTAGAATAGTAGTACTGGCGGTTGAGGTGGTAGTAGTAGTGGTAGCTGCTATAACAGCAGGAGTAGAAGTAGCAGTGACAATGATACCTATCACTCACCTTCAAACCTCTGAACAACTGGAATGTGACAATGGCTAACAGGAGGCACACAACGGAAATAATACAGCCAATGTACGTAATGATCTGCAGAGCCACCTGATGAGGAGGAGGGAGATATGTTGCGTGGACGTCCATAAGTATGGCAAAATTAGTTAAATGGTCACACTGGCAGGTTGTGTGTGTATGGTTTGTCATTTCTACATGACAACCTTCATCTGACCACGCGCTGCAAAAATAAGACAAACATGTGAACACAACGTAACCATATGGCATGACATATCAAACCAAAAGAATGAGGAAATAAAAAGCATGGTTGAAAATCTGGAGATATGGTTTTAAGAGACAATAAACAATGAAAACACAGTTGTGCCAAATTCACATTGTGAATAACATACTCAGCACTGTCATCATTTTCCTTACCTCATAGTGTAGTCCCAGAAGACACAGGCAGGGTTGCTAACATTCTCTGTGCGTAGATGACGAAGAGATAGGCGGACGGGTTCAGAGAGTTGGATATGCCTGCCCTTGCCAAGGGAGGCTGAGATCACTTTACTATTCAGTACTCGGGTCACATTACGCGAACCACGGACACCTGTAGTCACTTCACCATTCTCACTAACCATAACCACTGTGGATGGATCTGCCTGAGGTTGCAGAATTTCCTCCAGACGGTCAAATGCCACAAATACAAGGCGCACAAACCCCCCTTCACTGTTCTCAAGCAGAGCTCCACGAGGAAGTTGCAACCAATCTTGGCTCACTGGCCATTGTTCCAGAGAGGTAGAAGAAGGGAACTGTTCTACCCCTATGTTGTGGGTCTCGACTACACGAACGGTTAACACTGTAACATGTCAAAACACTTCCATGATTTATTCTGACCGTCTTACAGTGCATACATTTATTCACCTTACTCTTCTCTCTTGCACTACATGTTTCGGCATTAAAGTGCCATCTTCAGGTGCTTTTCGATGTACGTCGAACTACCTGAAGCACCTGAAGATGGCACTTTAGTGCCGAAACATGTAGTGCAAGAGAGAAGAGTAAGGTGAATAAATGTATGCACTGTAAGACGGTCAGAATAAAGCATGGACATAAATCAGTGCAACAGGATGCTAAAATATAACATCGTCAAAACACTTGTTACAACCATCCTACGGAAGTACAGTCTCTCAATGTACTCTAAACAAAAACAACAAAAACAAACAGTTTTTAGAGTTACCATTTGGCTGAAGGCTTAATTTTGTTATAAATATTTCCATAATATATATTTCACATATTAAAAGCTTGCCTCCACTCACCCATTTCTTTTTAATCACAACTAAGATAATAATATCTAAAAAATAATGTTTAACTGAAAAAATTGCAATAACAATGATGCACATCAGATGCATGCATCTGAATTTTATGGATGTCTGTAGTGGAGATGAATCAGTATGGCCAAGCATAAGAAAATTAAAAACAACTAATTTCCAATAATACTTCATTTTACTGCAAACTCTAAAAGTATAAATATCAAATATATAAAGCAAACTTACATTACATGTGCTGAATCTTGTTCCCCTAAGGCCACTATTCTCCAGTCTAAATCAGTGGCTATTTTCTTGTTCTTTCGAATTATGTAATGCAACTATATATAAAAGCAAGTACAACCTTTTCAATTTTACATAAGAAGCTTGTTCTCCACAATTTGATTTGGTTATTCTGCTGAATTCATATCAGCCATGAAAGCTTCGCTTACAATATTATACAACTGGCTTGGAATCTTACTTCCTCTGTATGCAGTTGCACTCTACAGTACTCTTCATTCATAAAGGTGATGTGTCCACACTTCATTACTGGCAACACTTCCCATTTGTCTTCTAAAATATATTTTAAGTTTATTTTACTTCATTTGTATGAGGCTTACTTTCAAATAATCAAATGTTACAATTCCACGTTTAATCAATTTCACTTTATTCTAGCATTGTATGGCTGCTTACACCTCCCCAGCAGATAGAAAGCACTGACTGTTTGACAATTCTTTTTTTAGGCTCAATATTTCTGATTTCCTTGAAAAAAATCCAATTACATATTCATTATGTAATTTGTACATTTATGTTAGGACAACAAGGCATCAAGAACTTCTAATTTCATTACTAATTGTCCAACTTTTCATTCTTTGGTCGGATGCATACAAAAATACAACTTCATGTTGTATCTGGCACCAGTACCGCCCATTTCTTCTATGATGATCACAAAACTGTCTGACAGTGTTAAATGCATAACAACTAGCTTCTTGAGGACACTGCTCTATGGAATTAATTAGCAGGTAGTCAATACAAAAGCCCAACATTATCTACAGATCAATCAATGAATCCACAGATTGATCAGTCAATGAAAACTGCCAAGTCTCTTCTTAGTACTTGCATCATCCACAAAAATAAAATTTGCAACATGGTAATCCTGTAATTTTTCTTAAATATCACTGTCTTCCAACCTTCACAAAGGCCATATCACTTCATTTACACACAATAATTATATGACAAAGAAAACATATCTGGCACATTTTAATCTTGATATGTATAATATATTCCAATAATACAACAGTTGTAAGTTACTCTGTGTTAATTATTACCAGTTGTTTTGCTGGTGATATTATTTGCTTCTACTACAATATGATATATATTTTTCTCATATAAGATTCCAATCATTCCAGAAAATGTTAAACATTTGGCAACTCAATACTGACAAACAGTAAATGATACAGCATACACCCACAAATCCACTTCAGTGCCATAACACTCTTCATTCTAACATTATTCATCATAAAGTAATTGATAGTGTCAAGCATATGTAGACTACAGTTAAATTCAAAATATAAAAATATCCATCCTGTTATTAGGAGCACGGTTATATATTTCTTGAGTACAGTATTTTGCAGTTTTGATACTTCCACTGTGTCACATTCTCGAAATTCTCTCTACAGAAGCATAGCAACAAAGCTATTACTTCATTCTGGCATTTTAGTTTCAAGAAAAAATAAGTGTGTGGATCTAATATGAAAGTTACAATCTTTATTCCTGGGCTGCTGCTTCTTCCTGTCAAACTTGTGGCAAAAACGGGCATTACAGATTACCAACATAAAGTGATCTGCATATTCATGTAGTCCTGGATTATAATACTGAGACATTATGACATAATGAGAAACAAGTTATATCCTGACCCATACAACTGTACATTCAGGGTCTGAACAGATTATGTGGTTGATGTCTTCAGGTTATTTACTAATAATTTTATACCTCATCTCTGTGATGATAAAGAATCAACTTAGTTCAGCCAGTGATGACAGCCTAGTATGTGAATGAGTGAAAATCTTATGAACTCCGTGTTTATCCTCATTACATATGTTCAACAAACACAAGTCAGCTCTCCGTGCTTCGAAACCTTGTGGTTTTTAACTAATTATACTCATAGAGTAGTAGTTGCTGTTAAGGCAACAAAGTTACATGTCCCCAGGAATGTATCTCTCTCAACAGTTACTGTCAGAGTGTTATCAAAGAACAGTGAGTGGCATCATGAAAAGCATTTCCTGAAATTTGCATGTCTCTTATAATATCATATTGTCAAGTTCCATTTCCCATATAAACATATGGTACCAGAGACTGATGGTAATGTCTAAAATGAATTTTAAGCACCATAAAATGCTGAACCTGACCTTATATCTCTAGCCTTGTGTGTGGCAAATTTTAAAATTCACTCTTACTCTGATATTTCACAACAGTTTGTACTTTCATTTACGTCTCCGCATGACATGCTTTTATATCCATCTTATCGTCTGTGGCAGTTTCAGTTTACAATAACTTGAATGAATATAGCAAAAATATGCTGGAACATGTAACAGGGTCAGAGGTATAACATTTGGAACTATTTTCTCTGAAATCTTGTAGCCCTGTATGTTAGCCAATGTGAGTACATACTGCAGACTTCCAGGTTAATATGCAAGCAATCTGAGAAGCACCCAATTGTGTACACAGTCAAATTAGCTCCCCCAGTCCACCAGAAATATCTTGCTCACTCATATTGGAACCAGACATAAATGCTCACACAAGTAAGTCTAACTGCAATAATATGGCAACTATTTTGCAGCCTAAATATTTTTCTGTTCAACTCTGCTACATGCATAACATCCTTTCTGTCCAATCGCAGTAACTTTCCGTCTAAAATATTTGCAACAAATAGATGGATGAAACACTTAAATAAAGATTATGAATAACCTGGTACAGCACAAGGTAAAAAGTTAGAATTTTAATATACTCCATTTAGAGGTCTCCAGTTCATACAAGCTACTTTCTGTCACTTCTTGCTTGAACATAAACCTTAGGACAGAAAAGCTGCAGTCACAATGCTTCAAATCCTGTGGTGTGTATCCAATGTCAGAAATGAATGAGCTTATAAACCATTCTGGTATGTGGACATCATGGGGGAGCCTAACACTACCTCTGTGGTTTATGGCTTGGCTGGCTGGTGTGCATGGAGTACTTAATCACAAATTTTCCTCTATTCTTCTTCTATATAATGTTTGTTGCATTCACTTAATAACACTCAACTTCACAGTCATTGCTCCACATTCCAAAGTATTGAGTGCATCTTCAACGTTTATATAGGACTAAAGCAATATTGTCTGGCCTCCCATTTGCAGCTGCTGCAATTCCTGCACTAGTACTGCTTCAAGTAGATACATTTCTTCTGCAGTCACTAAATCTGGATCCATTTCATTGACATGATATCAAGTGACAGCTCCAAACATGAATCCTACTGTTTTTATCTCACTAGATAAATCAAGGGAGCCTGATTCTATACCTGAAAAGGTTAAAACAATGCATATTTTAAAATTTCTGACATGGAATGACCTCTAGATTTTCTTATGTAAACCTAAATAACTGAAGTATCAAAATTAATTTTGACAGAACACATCTTACGAGGCAGAGCAGTGGGAACACAGAACAATTTTAAATAATGAACAAGGAAAGGTGACATCCATATTAACACAACTGCTTCTCTCTGCTTCAAAATATATGTACTTTACAGATGATAGATAACATGTTCACACTGGATGAAGATACGTGCAGAAGCCACCACACGTATACCAAAGATTACACGAAATTAAAACCACCTATGTGATAATTTGCAGCACTTGAACTTCAGGAGACCTCTGACAGGAGTATATCCCAAGGGAAGAACAATGTATCATCCTAGTTTAATTCCCATTAACTGGCTTTGAAAGAAGCCTTAAAATATGTTCCATAAAACATTTCTGTTTGCCTTGCAAGCCATTTCAACAAGAATACACTTCACATATTTCTACTTTCCTGCCACATAAAGGCTACCTGCAGAAACTGCTTTCAATTCTTTGTATTTCTGAACACCAAACTGTGTAAAGTGCAAATGAACACATTTGAACAGAAAGGATGCTAGTGCAGAGTTTTACAAAATAAAGCAGAATTCTGATAATTGTGAATTAATCATACTGCCTACAAGCAATAATCAGGTGAGCAAACGGAATTCAGGAAGGGTATTACACAATGTATTAACTATAAATAAATAATTATTACTTACAGATATTCTTCACGGTCTGGGTGACAGTTTTCTCTCTGACCACAATATCTGCCAAAAGAAATGCATTTTCCTCCAGACCCATCAGAAGTGAGGTAGCTACTCTCATCTGTTCTTTGAAACTTAAGTCTCTCCATGATGGATGCTGCGATTCATCAAGCAAATTACTTCCTGTTTTCACAACACCGTACAGCAGTTCCGTCACAATAGCTTCTCTCTGTCTTGGGTCTGGGAATGTTTCTATATCAACTGACATCTTTTGTGCCATCTTCTTGATGATCTTTGTCGTAGTCATCATGTCTCCACCATACAGAGTCTTGCTGCTTGTCACCTGGGACAGGTCATTGGCAATACTGATTATGGAGTCTCCCTCTTCGACGCGAGACTCTAGACTGGTCAGCCACACTGAACGACACTCGCTTAGGTCAGGTGAATGCGGCAGCCAAATGGGTGGGAGAGAATTAGAGGATGTGGACTCGGTCCCTGATGAAGGGGCAGGTACAGATTTTGGTGACTGAGTGACACATCTCCACCTGGCCAGACCTGTAGCACCACCGGGACATGGCTGAACATTTACCTCTCCTGCCCGTGTCCAGTTCCAATATAAATTTCTAGCCAAAGTAGGACTGCACAGTTGGATAAACTCGTTATCTTGAAGCCACGTAACACTTGGTGATGGCACATATTCAAACACTGCTGTGCTGGAAGCTGTGGAGTGAACAGTACAGATATCTGATACAAAGATACCACATTTCTAATTTCAAAAAATCTATCCAATATGTAACTGGAAGTACTTAAGACTAAATGTAAGTGGTTGGAGCAATATTTTTATATGGCATAATTCCTTACAAGCATTGGCAGATGCTACATATATCTGCAATCAACTGTCATCAAGAAACTTGAGCATTAAAAGAATCAACAACATGAAAATTTGTAATATATATATATATCATACCTGCTGTTGTTCTGTGGGTTGTTTTCCACGCTGGGCGTATTGTGGAAGCAGTTACAGTAGTCATGTCTCCTAGAGGTGGTGGGTGTGTGTCTGTGTCACTGTGAGTCCCCTTTGGTGCTACTGCAGAGAGAGGAACTGTTGTGCTAGTTGACCCAGGTGCCAATGCTGCAACACTACTCACTGCTATGGTAGTGACAATTTGACCATCTGGGGTGCTGGGTGGTTTCTGAGGAGGTGGCGGTCGCAATGTGGCTGACTTGCCTGTGCTCCACACACTTGGCTGAGAAGTAATCAGCCACGGCGGACTTGGACGACTGGTTGTGGTGGTTGTTGCTGCTGTAATGGCGCATTAAAGTTAACCTTTGTCACTCTAAATAGTTAAGTTTTAGTATACAAAATAAAATAGAAAATTCGACTGAATTTTGTACTATGCTGCCTAATTGTAGAGGAAGTGTGCAATCAAAAATATGAATGATTTTGAATTATAATTCTGTATAATCCTTCGAGAAAAATGGCAGTCCTTAAGTAATTTCTCCATAAAAATACATGTACATTAATAAATGAAATAACTATTCCAATTAAAGAAACTCTTACAAACACAATCCCTCAAACTGATTGCAATATTATGGGTTATCGGTCATTTGTGCACCATTCTACTTCCACCAATTACCAAGGCCTCTAGAATACAAGCAAAATACAAATTTAAACTTTAAGCCTGCTCAATTCTAACAGGAAATTCCTTATTTCTGCCATGTTAGGTATCCAAAATTGGTGTCTGCATGCCATAGAAGTCACAAGAAATAATATTCAAATTTTAGTCACAGCGTGGCAATATCATTTGTCACCCACAACACTGAATCTAGTGGTAGCTTTTTGTATACCATGAGACCAATATATTGAAAGTGAGCTTATAAAGACATAAGCCACGAAGTGTGTACAGAAAAATTAAGATAAATTATCTGACCCTGAAAATTCCATGTTAGATGGTAACAAAATTATGAAGAGACTTAATACGGGTTTGCAGCTAGTTTATGAATGATTAATTACAAATTAAATGACGATAATTAAGTTTCCATCCAACTAACAGCATAAGTTTAACTTATTTCATGTACACTGCATTAAACACATTTCACCTGGAAACTATAACTGAATTTAGGTCAGTCTAAAATAAAAATTACTGAAATACTGTAACATAAGAGTTACAATGTATGACAATATAATCAAAATCAGGAAATTAGTAGAGTGAAGCCCTCATATTTCTTGTGAGGGTACATTTTCTGGCATTCTCTGGCCTGAATTTAAATTACTCAAATTTTGATTTCTTTTTCAGGAAAGCCAGATTAATTAACTACCTTCTTACCTTTGGGGTTTGATCGGTATCTATTATCTTTAAGAAAACCAATAAAGGCCTCATGGAGTGGTGACAAAGTCTGCTAATCAAAATGTGCATCTGTGAATATAATTAATTACTTTGAATCTAATAATCTCCTGTTCTGTGGGACTCAATATTTCCAGATTCTTTTTAAAATGAGTATCAGAATGCATAAAAATAAAAGTAAAGCTATCCCTGTACCAGGCCGTGAAGGCCCATAGGGTTGTGAGACGTTGAGGGTCCCACACTATCTAGACAATCGGCTCAAAGATGGCGGTAAGGTTGTCAGCCTTACGCACTGGCTGCACTTTACTCCCCAGGAAAATTATTTAATTAATTCCTGGTACTCATTTCTGTTAGAGGTGGAGTCAACCCCAGGGCCATAGTGCGGCTGGAAGGATTAGGTCAACTGAAAAAAAAAATCCAGTGACCTCATCGGGACTTGAAACCGCAACCTTCCGGCTTGTAGCATAGCCCCTCAACCAACGACACTGCCGTGTGCCCCATCAGAATACATACAAAACTTCAATTATTTTAAAATTAAATAGTCATATCAACAGATTGTTAAATTTATTACATCAAAGATGCCGATGTTACAGATGTACAACCAATGGCAGTGAAATTCCATCCTTATCTCAAAATTTGCCTACTGACGTCATACTTCAGTTCCACGAGTTTAATTTTCTGTGTGCAGCCATGCATATATTTGTGTGAAGTATCAGAGAGATGTAGAGATCATAAACATGCACACTCACTCTCCCACTTAGCATGGAATGGACTTGTTATAGTACATTGCATGAAATGCGCAACAAATAAAACACTAATGAATGCTCAGTTTCCAACAAAATTATTGTACAAAAGTTCTGAGATTTTACGAAAATTTTGTGTCTATTCTGAATTGGAGAAATATTTTCAATAATGCTTCCTCCATTGCAGATTTACCTACAATTGTGACATACTGCCCATAAATTTCTTCCACAGAACTGCAACAATTTCATATGTTCAAGAAGAAATAACATAGATGAAGAGTTGGATGTAAGGAAAAATGCATGTACACTCAAAATATGAATATACTTTTTTTATTAATACCATTTACTAAACGATCTGGAACACATCAATATGAACTGAATCATTTATGGTATCTACCAAACACATTAACCCTTTCAAGCCTATGAACAAAATTTTTGCTCAGAAACACTGGCTCTGAAAATCTTTGGTATGTGACAAAAAAAATATGGAAACAAATTAATGTAATGTGAAATGTAAAGAGTATCACAATTGGCGCGGCGTATACAGTCTTTACTTGTTTTCCATAAGGTAAAGGTATCCCTGTAACAGGCGGTGGAGGCCACTAGTTGTGAGACGTTGAGGCTCCCACATTTTCTACAAAATTGGCTCACAGATGGCGGTGAGGTTGTCAGCCTTACGTGCAGGGCGCCCTTTACCCCCAGGAATATTCCTGGTACTCATTTCTGCTAAAAACTGAGTCACCCCCAGGGCCATAGTGCGGCTGGAAGGATTAAGTAAATTGAAAAAGAAAATCTACCATCAGGATTCAATCCCACGACCTTCCAGCTTGTAGCATAGTGCTACCGCGTACCCCCACTTGTTTTCCATAGGTATGTTAAAATCAAGATATACAGTGTTCAGGCCATGCAGTTCAACTGTACTATTATATTCAACAGCCATGTGTTGTGATGCATTTAAAAGAGAATGAACCACTATACTATGGCTATTCTAACTACTTATGCCAGAATAATATTTTAGAAATACCAGCCTTGTATTTTAGAAATACAAATGCTTCAATAAAAATATGAGGAAAGCAAGAAGAAAACTACATTATTGTTAGTTAAAGACAGGTTGTAACAAAAAAGTTATTGTATTCAACTTTTTACAAAAATTGAATAATTTCACTGAAGATCTTGTACATATAGCTTAAATTTCCATCATTCTATTACATAAATGTAGGCTATGAAATTGCTGCTGTTTCGTTTGCATGTTCTATGGGCCTCCGCATTTCTGTACCATCCACAGTTCCATCCATGTGACTGCAATCCAACAGTCAACCTTGTTTGTTGTCCTACATAAATTAAGAAACCTTGTTTTCATTACCATACTTAAAGATCAACCATACCTGGCATACACTGATAGTGTGCCTCTAAATATTTTAGAGTGCCTGGACATGGATCACCAAACATACTTGTGCTTGCGAGAATGCTGCAATTCTGCTGCTGGCTACATCTGGTGATAAAAATAGAAAAACACTAATCCTATGAATATCTCACATCAACTGCACCAAACGCAATGATGTGCCCTGATTATGGACTGGGTTCAGGAACAGACAAGCATCAACTTCCCTCTTAGGAAGCAGTCTAGTTGTGAATATAGGGAATACAAAACAACACATACAGTTGTTAAAACAATGTAAAAAATCACGAAACAAAGTTGTCATTAGAAGGCATTTTAATAATTGTGTTTCCCTAAGTATATCTTATTTCTGAAAATGACAAAAAAAAACGGAACATATTTTATGCTATGCCTATAACACTATATTATTAAGGCTTATATGGGGGATGCTGAACTCATTTTAACCTGGGCAGTATATCGAGCCAAGTGATTATCTTCACATTCCAGCTGCCTTCCCCTTAGAAAGGGGCCTTGTGGAGCACCAGGTAAGAGGCTGGGTAGGTTGCGAACGTCATTAAATGTGCGGTGATTATAAAAATCCGTCTCGCTTCCAGGAATTGAACCTCTGTCGCCTCTTTAATGAGATATCACAACTTTACCCAATTAGTGCTATAAAGTAGATCAAATGAATTCAAAACAGTAATCATATTGTCATCTTCCGGCTTAGGACAACATGCAGTCTGGTGAACGTAACTAACGTTACGAAGGAATATACCACCTTCATTCCGGGTAGAAATGTCCTGAATATGGCAAAATACTATTGCGAAGATACGATTCAAGAAAACCCGTATGTGCTGTGTTGCTACTGAATTCAGCCCACAACCTAATTTGAAGTCGCGCCATATCGCTAATGTTCACGAGATGTTTCATACAACATTCCGATAATCCGAAAAGTGCTGCCACCTCTCTGGATGTTACATCACTGCAACAACACTGCAGAGCATCGGAAGGAATACCATCACCGTCACGCCGTCCGGGTCAAGAAAGCAGCTGTAACGGCATGAGAGATAAGGAACAAAGGAGTTTGGTAGCTGCCACCATCTAGCGGCAAACGCACGAAACCAAGACCAGGTTTTAGATCAAAACACTCAGGTGCGTTGTTCCCTGGTGTGGCCCTATCTTACGTACAGTGCCATGCAACAGCTGGCGTCTATACACCATTAAAATATAGCTTTCTGGTCCACAGGACCGGAAAAGAAATTAACAGTAACAAGGGCGCAATTGGTATTTCGAGAAACTGAAAGGCAAAAATCAACTTCGCTTCGAAACATGCGGAACATGGCGACATGACACACTTCGTATCAACTGATTTATCGTAACTGGAGGACCAACCTAGCATGCACTTATAATGCACTTCTACGTATTTGTGAGTGCCGGGACACGGATCCTCGAAAACCGCACTGCTGACGGGCACGCTGCAGTTGGACATTGAACCACATCTGAAATAAAAACGGAAATTCTCTCCAACTAAAAATAGAAAGAAAGAAAAAAAAACAAAATATAAGAGACCGTGCGCAGTTTCGGCGGAGCGCCGTAATTCCTGAACTTGGATATGAAAGAAACGAAACAAAAAAAAAATAGTGCGTTTATTTGGCTTTTCTGGATAAGAGCGGCGTTCTATAGCATCCATTCTTGCTGTAGTTTTGTATCTAGTTTAAAGTATTTGGTTCCCAGGTTTGTAGTCAGCTTACAGTTTATGCCGAGCTGGTAGCGGATTAATTGTGCGCAATAATAATAATAATCGTTTAGAGTGCTCGTTTGGTGTTGTCAGGCACTAAAATAAAAGAATTCTATTGAACTGAAATGTCGTTATTAATAAGCTGTTATATTAGTAATTTAAAATATTATGCTAATAACGCAAATTCTATCTCGTCTTTTCACTCTATTCCCTAATGTGTAATATACGTCTTCCTGAACCACTTATTCAAAGTCTGGGCTGCACGTGACATGCATGATTTTAATTTCATGTGCCCAGCTTGTGGGTAAGAACCCACCGAAACAGCCAAGATACACGGCCGAGTTATATAAAGCTCCAAACTTATTAATAAAAGCACACACTTCCCTGAAATAAAATCTAGCCTTTCTGAAAAAAAAATTGTTATGTACTGGGACGTTAGCTACACTACTCTCCCGTTAGTAACGATGACAAAACACATGGCTATCACAGGGGAATGCACATATCAAATAAAGAGAGGGCTCAGAACACAAGACAAACAGAGAAGCCAAAGAAACATTCAGGGCAACGCAACAGCAGAGGAGCGAGGCAGGATTAAAATAAACGTTAAAAAACGGTCTTATATTCTCACGTCATTGTGAGAGAGGATCCTACTTCCATGTCCATTGCAATATTCGTCTTTCGAGGATTCGTGTCTCAAGCACTACACAAATCTGGTTTTTGTCTCGATAAGCCAATCGGGGCACATCACTGATTCACAGTAGAAAACATAAAACAGTATAAATATACTTTATTTACTGCATAATTAAAAAAGATAAATATTACACTAATTGAAATCACGGCAACTGATTGCATGTTCCGTTTTTTATCATTGTTATACTTTGTTTCCACTGTAAATGCAATCTCGGTTACACAGTATGAGCGACGCGTCAACGGTCACTAACCATGCGTGCTGCATAATAAGCCAATCGGAAGTACCTTCAACTGCAGTTCGACATGAACTGTATTTGTGGGAGAACAACTGAAGTATTAGCTTTGCGCCCCATTAAACTGAAGGAACGCGCTTGCGCCGCAAGTTAAAGAGCCGACAAGTTAGGATGTTACAAAAAACGCATGGCGGACCACAGGAGATGGAACACCACGGAAAAAAAGAAATTTTCTGCCCCAAGTTATGGAGACGAGAATGTTTAGAGGGTTAAAAAGTGCACAGCGGATTGGCGGCTCACTGGAGGTGGAACGCCACAGTCTCAGTATTCTTTCACAATATTAGAGCTCTGAGGCAAACACTGACAATGGAAACAATGTATGGTCAATACAATTTAATGAGCCATTAGGGATTAGGGGCACAGGGCTTCACTCATGCATTCAATAATATCAATTACCAAGGGCATTACACACAATATATGTTACACTACACATATAACATGCACAAAATGAACGTACGGTTTCACCAAACACATAAGTACGTACATAAAATAACATGTTCCAAAATTAAAACACTGAAAATGTATGGTTCATAATACCCTTTACAGCTGTCAATTCGGGAGACTAGGGTAAGTTATCACAGATATCGTTGGTATGGAACTCTCCAACAATTTATATCATGAAGGTAAGCAGTTTGGGTGACAGACATTTTTTAAGAAAACTGTCAATGGAAATAGTTTCAATGTTCCTTATACAATAATTACCAAACACCCCTGCGAAATGAAAAAAGGGGGCTCCAACATAATCCAAATTCCTCTAACATTAATTATTTTGAAGAAAGCAGTCTTCTGGGATTTTAACACCGTGTATATGTGGTGTTAACCGACGTTTCGGAGGTACCGGTACCGGTTCTCACGGTCTCTTCGCCTGCGGATTTCTTATATTTTTCCTTCTACCCTGAAGATGGAGGCGATACGTTCCTCCGAAACGTTGGTTAACACCACACATACACGGTGCCAAATACCAGAAGACTGCTTTCTTCATAGTCACTGCCGTGAAAACCTCAAATCTTACATGAATTATTTTGTACCGACAAATACATAACAACAAAACTGTCATACATCCTTCCATCCTGATATGATTACTACATACATAAAGACGTTACTAGAAGGATGGTTGTGTTGATGAGGTACAATAAAGCAGCGTCTATATCCCAGAATATATTATTCTTTACAACTACGCCATTTCACTCATGTATACACAACACAGTTCAAGGTAATATTGGAGGGGCCGACCCAAAATACCCCATAAAATAACAATGTAAACAAAAAAACTATTTATCAAGGCAAGCAGCGGATACAAGAAAGGCTGTTATGCTCTCAATATTCTGTCTTATGAAACTTCCTTTCAGCAGAGTTTCAGGCGTCAATAAACACCTTACTCGTATTTTGGCACGCTTTCTGAGTAGCCAAATCGTTGAAAACTTAAGTATGCACAACGTATGCCCTTCTCATTTTACCCCCTCTATCATACTAACCACCTCCCCACTTCGCAAATCTCAGGGGAATGCTTCAGCACTTAAAAGAGGTGAGCCGGAGGAAATAGAAACATTCTGAAAACCGAGGCAGAGACTGAAATTGAAGAGGTTAAAAGGGTGCGCTGTGTTTCGGATGAAAATTCCATTGCGCTTGGAACGACAGAACACTGTGGCTATCGATCCAAAATTTTGCAAAACACCCTTCTCTTCAAGAGTCTTCTTTTCTTCTGTGGGAACTGCCCACATTCAAGCAAGTGTGACAACGCAAGCGTCATTGCTTAGCAACGACGAGTGCGTTAGGTTGATAGCCTGTTTCTTGAAGATATGGAGTCGGACTAACGCTTCTAGTGTCTTCCTAGCTTTCTTCTTTTGGTATATTTACCTCTTACACAACTCTGACAATTCTGTCTTCGTCATGATTATACAGCGCGTTCAGTCAAGCATGAAACTTCGCAACACCGCTGATCCGATCCAACATTCCTCGCAGATTGCTACTGAAACTGATAGCAGAATGAGTCATTAGCGGTGATAAATGTGCGCCGTTACAGTTACAGCAGCAATCTGTGAGTAATATTGGGCTCGGTTAACGGTATTGCGAAGTTTCCTTCTTGACTGAACACACTGTACAATTCCTGCCACCATTTTGAAATTGATTCTCTTATCGGTTAGATTCCGCATTGCAAGTGTTTGTGTTTTGAAATAATTGTTTTGTTTTTTAGAAGTACCTGTTCGTGTCTCGATAAAATATGTATGAACTGCTCTTACAGCTGATTTGCAAATTCTTACTTTGGTTTCCAGTCCTAGACATTCCACCATATCCTGTCATCTCGACATCCAGATACGTGCCCTGGCGGCCCTATGGGCTCGGTGTTCTACTTCCGACTGCACTGCTCTAATGCTTTTTGTCTCTGCTCCCAA